CTTCAAAGCTAGTTTGTGTTTCACTCTCAGGAAACCTCAGAAAGGAGCTTTACAGAGCTTATGAATCTCTTGAAACTGTATGCACAACCTTGTTTATAGGTTAGGATATGATTTATTTGAGGAATGGTCTATGGATTCAATTAGATTCTTAAGAGGCCTCTGACCAAAAAAAAAATTAAATAATAATAAATTTAAGAACTACTGGATGCATACCGCATCTATTAAAAAGAAGTAAATAAATATGATCCCCTACCACTATGCCACTCACATCTTTCTCTTTCATGTTTGAGGAGCTCTGAGTCATAAAACTAAATGATGGATGGGATAATACATTTCACTATTTACCATTAGTTTGGGATTATTTTCACTTACACTTCCCAGGAAGCATCCCGCAGGAGGGGATCTGTAAGAGAAGGACTGCTTTGTTTGAGAGGTAGTGACAAGCATCTACCCCCTTCCACAGTTCTCTGAATCATCTCCACATGAAATCCCAAAGGATTCACATTTAGCCTCTGCTCTTCACAACACGTGCACAAGTGGGAGAAGACTGCCAATGTTTCACTACTCTGTAGTGAAAAAACGTGGGCCAGCTCCTTTCCTAGCTTCTGTAGTTGTCTCAAGGGAAAGTTAAGTGCTAGAGGAGCTTAACCTTGAGGTCTTCATGTAAGTAACTAGATGGGAAAAAGGGACTGGAGACTTATTCTTCAATAAACTTGCACGATTTTAGAAAATATAGTAAGCCACAGATTCCCCAGGAAACCAAAACAAAGCATTTCTTCTTGGCTCTAAAGGTAAAAATGATAGGTATAACAGATGTGAAAGTGCTTTGGAAAAGTAGTTAAAGCACTAGAAAAATGTGAAGCATTATGATAGAAACAATCACTGCCCCCTCCCGTAAATGCTACATTACAGTTTGCATGCAGAAAACTGGTAGTAACAAAATGCATCATTGCATGAGAGCATATAAGTAGGGGATGATTTAAGAGTGATGAGTATTACAATTAAGAATTGGCATACTTTAGTAGGATTACCTAAATTTATTTTCTCAATGTTTTTTATTTGGGGGACTTAAGGCTTTTTCCCTTTGGAGCACAGAGATTAATCCAGGTTAATTCTATTTGCATCTGGCTGAGTGTCCCATGACTGCTTCTGCAGGTTTGGCTATCAAGCACAGATGAGTTCACACAAAGCCCTTCTTTGCTGGCTCTGTACTTCTTTCTGACTTCTTACTCTTAGATAATAGTTAAAACTCAATTCTCGGGAGAATAAAAGTGCTATGTTCCAGCTTCAGAATTCTTTGTTCTTTGTTTTTAGCATCTGTTAGGTGATTCAGGAAAATAGTACTTTCCCAGGTACTCACTTATCATTTCTTAAGTAAACAATAGATTGAGGAATCTATACATAGAAGTCTAAAATGGCTGTATACCCAAAGGAGCCAAAATGAACACAAAATTGGAATTCACTTCTCTTTTTGCATCTATAAAATTTCATACAAGTATAACCAACTACTACTTTTTTAGTGATCTTTTCCCAAAGCCACTTCTTACTATGTGGGTTATTAACTGGGCCACTTTTTCTTTAGGTAAGAGACTTTCCCTTAATTAGACAACAAGGAATTATAAGGAGGGAGCAAATACAGAGGGGGGAAGAGCGAGTAATGCTGTGATTATTACATTTTGACAATGTTTGTCATATCCTGTCTTTATTAAAGATCCATTAAAAATAAGCCATGCTTCCAGGGAGGGGTCAGCTGATGTAACATTGCAAGTGCACTGTCCCATGGCAGGGGTTGTACAAGTGTGGGTCCCAGGCCTACAGCAGCAGCACCACCTGGGAAGCTGTTAGAAATGCACATTCCTGGGTTCCACCCAGACCTACTGAAGCTGTGACCCAGAAATTAATACTTCAACAAACACTCCAGCTGATTCTGATGCCCACTTATGTTTGAGAACAGATTGCCTTTCCCTTAAGATATCTGTAAACATGTAGTTAATTTATTTTCACGAGTCTTTTACTTTTTAATATCACACTTTTTGATAAATAAATATACAACTTTTATCCCACTGATTATATTCAGACTGTTCTCTTCTAGGTTGTGCTTTGTGATATTTCCTAGTGGTTGCTTTTTAATTCCTGGAGTTAATTATTGCCATTTCATTTGCTTCATTTCCTGTGTTTCATCAGTAATTCTTCCCAAACCATCTAAGAGAATTGTCAAATCACTCTAAACACTAGTCTGTGCTTGGTTTTATACATCAACTTCTTTCACCTTCACCCACTGAAGGTGTCCTCCCAGGAACCCTCTATGCTCCTATGAGGACAATTGTTCTGTGTTTTTTGTTTGTTTGTTTGTTTTTTGTGAGCTGTTCAGTTTCCCCCATAAGATTCCTTTGATTTAATATGTTAAGGAAGAGGCAAAACTGGACATTTTATGTCTGACTATGAACCAGAGTTATTGGAGCCAAGCAGAAGTAGGGACAAAGGGTCTTGCCTGTCAGACTCTCACTTCTTATTACCGCTCCCCTCCCAGCCCTCTACTGCACCCCGAGTCCCCAAACCTGGACTTGTCTGATGCAGTTTACCCTCCAAGGAAACTTTCAGGTGCCAGAAATTGCCTGGCTGTGCAGGATCTAAAGCTCCTTTTAAGGGCTGTTAAACAATCCCTTTGTTTTCAGCCCTACATCTTACACAAAATATCAGAGATAAATGGTGTTTCCAATTCTTGAGACTTTTTTGGAATTCTGCATCATGGATAGAGTTGCTTCTCCTTGGAGTCCTACTTACAGTCACTTGGTATTCTCTGTAAACATTAATTCAATAGCTGGCTGATACAAGGCATTACAAGAATAGATGAATGAGAAATTAAGAAGGGAGGATTGATAGACCATGGTGACTGGATGAGGGGATGGAAATATAGAGAAACCAGAGAGGAATAATAGTTTTCCAACATGGGTAACTGTTTCCCATTGGATGATGTTAGAAGTTACTAAGCTGGGAACTGAGAAAGAGTGGGATTGGTGCGTTCACAGTTTTTAATATGTTGATAGTATAGTTGCCACAATCAACATATTATCAAGTGAAGATGTCTAATAGTGAGCTATATACACAGTTCCAGTTGCCCAGGAAGAGAGTTGTGCCATAGATAAAGATTTGGGATGCAGTGATAAATGGTTCCTGTGTTGTATATATGGGAGTAACTAAAATGAGTTACAGTATACAATAAAAAGAGTAGAGAATGGCACCCTGGAAAACGTCAACATTAAAAGGGCAGTTGAGGAAAATTCTATTTAAAAGCACACACGAATGTGTTAATTTGGGTTTTCTAAGAAGCAGAATTAGATGTGCAAGGGATTTACTTGGGAAAACATTTATGAAGAATAGAAGGGAGAATGAACAGTGGGAAGGGAGAGATTTCACACCAAGATGTGGACCTGACACCTGTGAAAAGGGAGAGAGAAGGAAGGATTGGGTAAGAAGAGTCTCATGTTGTACTACATTTTTCAAATAAAATTGACCAGACCAATGGAAAGTCCCTAAGCCAAGGTATGAAGCCCGTGAAGGCAGAAATGGGTGGGCACTAGTCCCCCTGCCATGCTCCATCATTAACAGGAAACAGCCCAGTGGAGTGTGAACTTGGCACAACTGTGTTGATGAATCCAAAGGGTTGTCAGTCATCTTGGCTTCCTCCTGAAGCAAAGTTTCTTGAAGATATGAGAGGGAAGAGCTTAAAAATAGGAGAGAAACCAGAAAGAATGGTAGTACTGAAGAAAAAAAAAAGAGGAGGTTGCATGGATTATACAACTATGAAGGGAAATAATGGATAAATCATCTTAAAACTGAAAATTTGAGTCTGAGACTTTTTTACTGTGAAATCTGTAGTTAATAGTCATGTGCAAAATGTGCATAATTAGAGACAACATTAATACTGGAGAAAACATAGTTGTGGGGAAGATGATGGATTAGCTTTAAAGTTTAGAATCATTTGTAATTTTCAAATATGCACTTTAAGTTGAATTGAAATATTTTATACTTGAGTTTCCTAATGGAGTTAATTAATCACTTCTGATTTCATTGCAAACACAGCACCAACAAGAAACAAACATAGTCACAATGCAAGTAGAAATCAAGTTCTATCACTCCTATGTGGCTAGTGATAAGAAAGGGATTTCTTTCCCTAAAATTTAATGCTTATGTCTTATAATCACAACTCTTCAATTGTTATATTATCTAAAATATATTTTATTGATTTTTCACAGAGAGGAAGGGAGAGGGATAGAGAGTTAGAAACATTGATGGGAGAGAAACATCGATCAGCTGCCTCCTGCATGCCCCCCACTGGGGGTGTGCCCGCAACCTAAGTACATGCCCTTGACCAGAATCGAACCCGGGACCCTTCAGTCCGCAGGCCGACGCTCTATCCACTGAGTCAAACCAGTTAGGGCTTTCTTTGGCGATTTTAAAGTTATAACCTTTTTCTATGATCTCAACAGACTTATCCTTGAAAAAATACTGAGTCTACATTTCCAAATTTCTACCTGGATGCATTTAACTATCAACCAATGGTCCAGAAAGAAGCAAGGATCCAGTTTTAGGAGTACTTTGGTTTGTGTCTATCACATTCATACAACAACAAAACCATGGAGTTAAAGGAGGGCAAGAAGGGAGTGGGGAAAAATCCAATTTATTGCAGGTCACTTCTGACCAACCAAGCTGAGTGCTGCCTTCCTTGATTACCTCCCCCAAGGCTTTAGAGTGTGATTGCTCGGTATAGGAATGGAGACATAGTTGGGGGGAGCGGGTGTGTGAGTGTCCAAGAATGAAACTCCAGGAAATGAAATGGCCAAGTCCCGGAGTGGGGAAAAGAGAGGAGATAAAGCAAAGTACTATCAGTTCCATGAGGGTGGGCACCATGTCTGTTTTTGCTGTTTTGTTTTAGCACCAGCACAGTGAGGACCTATGGACAGAAATCAACAATTTGTAATTCTAATGTTAAAAACAAAATGGATTTTGTTCGCAAATCGATTTATATTTTGAATCTGATTTCTGCAACCAGCTCAGACTGTAAAGGAGAGGAGAGCACCCCTTTCTGTAGTTTTTCCGCAGACACTTATCTAGAGGATAAGTATAAGCAGGTGTTCCTGGGGGGCGTGGAGAAGCACACCCAGTTCGGGAGGTACTTCGCGGGCAACCTGGCCTCGGGCGGGGCCGCCGGGGCCACCTCCCTCTGCTTCGTGTACCCCCTGGATTTCGCCCGGACCCGGATGGCGGCCGACGTGGGGAAGTCGGGCGCCGAGCGCCAGTTCAAGGGCCTGGGAGACTGCCTGGTGCAGATCACCAAGTCGGACGGCATCCGGGGCATGTACCAGGGCTTCAACGTCTCCGTGCAAGGCATCATCATCTACCGGGCAGCCTACTTCGGGGTGTACGACACGGCCAAAGGCATGCTCCCCGACCCCAGGAACACCCACATCTTCATCAGCTGGATGATCGTTTTTCCTCTAGACACAGCTCATATGGTTAAGAGCTATTTGATGGAATTGAACTGTTGCACAGTTTTAAAGTGACTTAACCTCTGAAATGTTTAGTTTGCATAGTGTGACCACCATCAATAGCCCCTTTTGTTCCTGGATAATCAATATGGTGTCCCGAATTTTGAGGAAAAAGACTTTCTTCTGCAATTCTCAGTGTCTAATAGCTTCGACACGTTTCTTTGCAGCTCTAAATAAAAGTGGCTGGTCTAGGGTCATCTTATTGAAATCAAAACTGCCTCATAAGAACCTAACTGCACATATCAGCCAACCAAGCTGAACAGATTCTTCCATATAAAGTAGCTATTTATTGAAAAACATTCAAGAACAGGATAAGGGTGGGTCCCTACATCCACCACAATCAGACCTCTGGTCAGCATCCACTCCTCTGGGTTTACACGGATCCGCTCTTAAAATCACCAATTTGACAGAATCATATTTACATTTAAACATTTTTCTGAACATATTTATTTTTAAATACTGAAAGAATAATATGATTAATATCTAAATAGAGAATACTTTTAAAAGATAATTCAACTTTACAGTCATCTTCTTTCCATTTTTCTAAAACCTGGAGTAGTACATGTGTATGTACACACATACACAAATAGGGAAATATATGCCATATAATTGTATTACATATATATGTAGATATCTATATCTACATATATACATATGCATAAGAATGTACAGATACATAGACACAGAACATAAAATTGTAATGAGCTTCAAAGTAGAAACCAGAGTTTCAAATCTTAGCGAATATGGTTTAGCATATAGAGTGTTTTTAGCTTGCTCTTGTTTTTGACACTGGCAGAGCTTCAAAATTTTGAAGGTAAAATAATTATTTTTGCTACTATTGTGAAATGTATGAAATTGGAGTGCTTTCAGGGTCATATATGATGATGGAAACAGTTGCAGTCATTAAGCTTCAGTGCATTTCCTAAAGTGTTTACAGATCAAGGTGTTTTTGTTTTAAGCTGAATTCAGGTATATCTCTAGAGGTGGCATCAGTAATCCATCTGAATTGTCCATTACTGCTAACACACAAAAAAGAGTAAGAGACAGGGGATTAAAATTATAATTAAAGCAACAATGAGAACTAACTGGAGACAGAAGAAATGTATAAGTTTAAGGCAGAAATTTTCCTTTTAGAAAGACATTCAAATTTTCAAAGAAATCATATAGATTGTATATTGTGTATTTCTTCAAGATGATCAGGAATTCCCTATTTACTTCTTGTAGACATTTCCATATTCATCAAATTGAACATGCAGGTTGGAGGTATTTATAGACTTCCACGTTATATTAAAGGAAAAAACAAAAGCTGCAAAGTAAGCAATCTTTATAATTTTTAAGGTAAAGAAGTTTATTTTCTACCACTGTTTAAAAAGAGTTTTTAAATAAATTCTAATTGTCTTCAAAAATATTTTTGAATGGTTATTTCTCTCTTAAACTGGTTGTAACACTGGTTTATATGCAAGGAGTTGGAAAGACCTCTCACTAGGGGAAATAGAAGTAAGATTTGTGAAGGCGATCACTAAAAAGGGAGGGTGTTGACAGATTTAGGGAGGTGGAACAGAAGTACAAGGTGAAGAGAAGGCTTCTGGAATAATGTGGAAAGTTCCTCCTCTTCCCCGTGACACCAGAAATGACTAAGGATGTATGACAGGTGAGTTGGCCGCCCAGAGGAAAATGAGGGTTGAAAGTGCACCATATATTTTTCCAGATGGGTGTCAATTGAGCTCTCTAGCTGCTGGCATATCAGGGAAAGCAGAACTTTAGCAAAGCTCCCGCCAAATCTAATGAGAAATTCAGATATTGAGAGAGGAAAATACGTCTGGTTAACACAGTGGATTAAATACTTACATCTCTATCTTTTCTCAAGGCACCATTAAAACACTAGTAAATGGGGGAAACAGGTAGAATCCTTTAAAACGAGGAGATAAGAGCAGAAAGATTGGAACGCTTTTAAAAAATTTTTTTAAATTTATTTTTAGAGAGGAAGGGAACAGTGTAGAGAGATAGAAACATTGATGAGAGAAAAACATAGAGCAGCTGCCTCCTGCATGCCCCCTACTGGTGATCAAGCCTACAACCCAGGCATGTCCCCTGACCAAGAATCAAACCAGTGACTTGTTGGTTCATAGGTCAACGCTCATGAGCCACACAGGCAAGGTAGGGACTAATTTTTTGAAGCAAGAAACTCGAACTATGCAGAGGATAATGTTGAATAACAGTGACTGCAAGGAGGACACCTAGGAGAAGCCAGCCTGAGCATGATGTCAAATTTCAGAAAAACTCAAGGCTCCGAGGCACCCTTTAATGCTGACATCCTATGTGAGGTGTGGGGCTGAACATGGGGTTAGTTAGTTTGTCTGTATAAAGATCCTGTTCATCCAGGCAACTGCAGTAGTCTGAGGAGCAATGAGTCATACCAGTCAGTACCTAGGCCCCAGGCCCAGAAGTTCTGATTTAAGTTCGTCTGAATGGCATCCAGGTATGAATACATCTTAAAAAGCTCCTGAGATGATTCTGGCATGAAGCCAGGCGTCAGCACCTCTGCTCCCACACAAATGACCCATTGCTCGGAAAAGGAAACAGGCTATAAATTAGGGACCGTACCGAAGGTTTCCCTCTAACAGAACTGAGCTAGAATGAGAGGCAGTTCACTCTCCCTACCTTTTCCTTTCATTGCTGCCCTGCCTCCAGCCCTGCCTGTTAGAGGCTGTGTGACTGACCCTCCAGATAGTACAACCAGAACCCGGCAGAGGAGGATTTTGTAGGTCAGAAACTGTTTATATCTGAAGAAAAATATCACACCACTTTCATGCACTAGTGAATGACAATCCCGAAAATATTTTTCTCTGATTTACACATGACTCTTTGGCCCACGAGGAAAATAAACCCTTCACAAGAAAGAAACTATGTCAGCAGTCAAGGAGTCAGACGCCGGTTGCTGTCGCCTTAACACTCAGATCGCTGCATTTAAAATTGAGAATGCAGAGTTTCATGCCACGCGTTTTCATAGCATGAGAACAATTTTGATCTAAAACAATAGTGCCCTGAAAATAGCGTGCCACCCCTCAGAACGGAGGCAAACGAGGCTTTAGAATCCTTGCAGGTTGTATTATTGTCCATATTAATTTGAATGCTCAAGCTCCATTGGCAAACGCAGGCAAACAGGAATGCAGACAGCTTGAACAAGAGGAAATTGTGGTATCGCCCAAAGGAACAGGCCGGCCAGGGAGAGTTCAGCGGGAATGCGAATCGAAAGCATCTGCAACAACTTGAGCTGCGCTTCATGCTGTGGGGCTGGACGGGACCAGGGAGGTTTAAGCCCTAACACCTGGGATGGAGGGCAGAGCGCCATGCAACCGCCAGTCTGAGAGCCTCTCCAGATATTTGCAGCACGTGGGGCTGTGCTAGACAATGACTCCGTTCAGTTCTTCTGCAGCTGTCCATCACAGCGGGCACGGACAAGTCCCATTCCTGAATTCATTAACAGCAATAAATATTTATTGCATGTTTACTGAGCACACTGGGAGCAAGACTGAATTTGCACTAAGTTTGAGTACAGAACATCTTCCAATTTAGACAACACACATAAAGACACATGACAGAATTCTTTCCTGCTTAAAGATTAAAAAAGCCTCAGGGCCTGCTATCATCCAGGGTTCTCTGTGGTGGAAGGAAAACCTACTGAAGACACAGAAAGATTTCCTCGGGAGAAGAGGACTTTGGCCCTGCGTACATCCAGAGTGTTATGGCAGTGATGGCTCTCTGCTTGAGTAGAGCCGAATAAGGTGGCGAAAGTGGTGTTGTTCAGACTCATCAAGTTTCATTTTTACAGAAACCACCTGAATGGTGACTGAGGCTGTGTAGAGTCAGAGGGGACAGATGTGCCTTCCTATGTGGGCAAGGTGTGGATTCAGGGAACGTCCAACAGTGTTTCTACAAGCACTGATCCAGGAGAGCTAATGCAGTTGAAGAGTGAGAGCCGTGCTAGGTAGAACTCCCTGTGGGCAATAGAAGCAAGGCCTCACACACATACACAGGCAAGAGTTAAATCAAAATCTTCTCTCCTAAGGGATCCCCAGTGTTTTTTCTCTTATAGTTTGTGTCCACAGCTGTGGGGAACACAAAATACTTTTCCTATTAACTAAAAATGACCTTCCACTGTTAGACTATACTTATGAGGAAGGAAGAGAGTCTGCCTTGATACATATATGTTTTGTCATACCAATGACAAATTAAAAACATGAACAAAAACATCATTTCCTAAGAGTGGAAATGAGATTGAAAGACATGAATTAAAGATTTCATTTTTTAATTATCAAACTGTCTTGATTTGATAAGCTGTGTGTGTTTGTGTGTGCACATTGTTACACATAGAGGTTTTCTCTATGCTCATTGTACAAGAGGAGCCAAAGTAGAAGAGCCGGAAAGCAGGGCAGCAACTAACAAAACTTAATGGAAAAGGCACCCTTCTGGCTAGACAAAATGGAAAAAGTGTGCTTCTATCTCCAGGGGGACCACAGCCCAGCGACAAGGCTAATGGATTGAAGATTTCAACCCTCACTCAATCTCTACCCGCTCTGCAGGTGCTTTTGTGTAGGGCACAGCCTGCATAATCTTACTGGCTTACCATCCTGGAGAGAAAACACACGGTTTTCCTTTCTATCTTCTTTAAATTATCTTATGGGGAAGAAAAAAAACAACCATTACTTGAAAAATTTTTCCTACTCCAAGGGATGACATAGTTAAATAAGGGTGTAAGCCAAAGATTCTAAACCTAAGGCTCCAAGTGCCCTTGGAAATACGTCTTTTTCATAAGGACATCTGTATTTTTCTAGGCACAGAGAGTTTACAAATGTGTTAGTGACCCCAAAAAGTTAAGTCTTAGGCCAAAGTATAGTGGAATTCATTAGTTAGGAACATTCACAGAAGAATAATTTAACTTTAAAAAAATGCCCCTAGATCATCCAAATAAATATCTGATGCATTAAGGTCTGAATTCACAAATATTGCATAAA